TGGTTATGACTACTTTTAGCATGTGTGCTAATGACTTCGAAAGGTTCGTTAAAAATACGATGTTCGAAAAATTCGTGAACCTTGCGCGGACTTATAAACGAACGTGTGCTACCAGTGTCTAACATAAATTTAGCATCTAACTCTGGAATATATTTATAGGGCAATTTTAAATTCGCGTCGCAATTTAATTCTATGGTTTCTTTATATTGGTTGAGGCCGTTACGTGAAAATTTTCAACTTCTTCCGGTAATTTTCGTTAGACGGGTACCCCGCAAAGGTTGTAATATTTAAATACCACCGCATGTCGCACGGATTACTATTCCAGTTCTTTCACCTGTACAGCAATAAAATTGTGGAATAGCCTGCCAGTCGATATTAGAGAGACCCCGTCGATTGATGTTTTTCAAGGGCGTGTATCCGAATACTATTTATTTTATCAGAACAGTATGATTGACTGATTAATTATTTTATTTGAATTTATATTTATTATTTATGCATAAATAGTAGGTATATATATATTGTGCAATAAATAGTATGTATAATATAATATATACATGCAAGTATGTGTACGTAAAATTGTAATTATTTGTATTTATGTTGAATTATATTTAGTTTTGCCATATTCTTTATGATTGACACTTAAAATCTTGTATGTCATTTTAGCGTTACTACCCGTAACTTGCTCTCAACCACCAAAGGTTAACTGGAAGAAAATTCTATTTAGCATTAACTTAACGCCTTTGTACAAACTTTTAGTACAATAAAGAATATGCAAACAAATACAAACAAAGGCGAAAGTTTGTATGTATGGATGAATGTTTGTTACTCTTTCACACAAAAACTGCTGAATAGATTTTAATGAAACTTTACAATAATATATCAGAATAACATATAGGCTATCTAATATATAAAATTCTCGTGTCACGGTGTTTGTAATTGAACTCCTCGAACGAACGAACTGAACGGCTCGACCGGTGGAGAATCGGACAACATTTATTTCTCAACCCCCTAAATGTTAAGGGTGGTTCACTCCAAACATTTTTTTCTACCATACAAATAATTTATATGGCAAAACAAAGTTTGCCGGGTCAGCTAGTAATATATAAAGATATTGAGCGAATTGTCCATAATATAGGTAGTGATAAGTCTTAATTTAGTAGGAAAAAATTCAGCCATCTGCGAGATATTCTGGCGGGTGAAGCCGCGCATAACAGCTTGTTGTTAATAATTCAGTACAACGAAAATGTTTAAAAAATTGGCCGTTGTTTAAAGCCATGTTTGTCGCCTGTTACATTGTGGTAATAATGCGAAATATGAGATATGAGCGCTATTTAATTGCAGATACGTTGCGTACCTTTGAATTTGTCTTATTTATTAGAGTAATGAGCATTTTTCCAAATAATGACGCTGCTGATTTTCACTACCTTTCTATACGACGTAATCCAAAATACCATTTTGATGAGCGCCTTTATGCGCATTTATAGAAATCAACGGATTACAACTAGACTCCTTACTAATCTTTACTAATATTATAAACGCGAAAGTTTGTATGTATGGATGGATGTCTGTTAAAACTTTTGTAAAAAAAAATGTATTACAAATAAGAAACTAAATATTATACAAAGCTAAAATGAAATAATTGTAGAATTTGTATTTATGTCTATGATAATAAAAGCCTTTTATTAAAGTTTATCTAATTTAACTTTATTTAACCAATTTCTGTAAAGTTGCATATAGTAAATTATTTTTTGAAAAATAACGTCATAAAAAAGTTTCACTTCTTACGAGTGTACGCTAGTACACGCACACATTTTTTTTGTTATTTCTTTACCGTCCGTCATTATTATTTTAATATTATATTTAGGTACAAAAACTCACTACGTTACATCAACAATTTATCTGAAATCAATATTCTCTACTTGCCTGTGTACAACTACAATCGCATGGAAATAAAAAAGGAAACAAAAAAGACTTATTGTTAGTCATAGACAGATTTATATGTATTTGTGGCGCAACACCCACTGTACCATTCTACGTAAGCAGTCTTTTGTCTGAGCTATTAAACTATTATATCTATAGATCTATACATATAATAAAAATGTAACTGATCGTTATACATGGAAGATATTTGAGAAAAACTATTATTGCCGGCCTTTATCAACGCATTAGAGCCAATGATTATTATTTTTTTGTCTATTTGTCTGTTTGTTTTGCGCGCTAATCCTGCAACTTTCACTAATGCATTGTAGTAAGCTTCACTTAGTGATAGTTTTATATAAATCGGTTCATAAATAAAAAAGTAATATCAACCATAATGAAGATTTGTGCGATAATATGCTATATAATAACTACAGTTGAATTGGATGAAACTATAGTTAACTATATATCATGGTCGGTAAAATGATTTTTGTAAGTTTATATAAAGTTAAAAAATTCGGCCAAATTCGGACTTGCGCACGAAGGGTTCCGTGGGTACTTTTTAAGCACGGTATAAAATGTAATAGGTACATGCGAGCGGAGCGGTGGGCGAAAAGCTAGTGAATAATAATTCTAATGTTTAGTATTAAAAGACTCTTGCCATAATGCAATGTAGAATTTTTTTTAATGTACACAAAACACAAGATACAAAAAAAAATTATGAAAATTAAAGTAATGTACAAAAGGTAAGCTTAACTCAATACATGAGTTCTCTGTCAGCTAATCCGGTGAGAAAATAGGTGATTGAAGGTAGCTGGAAATGTGTTCAATACACCCATTCATTTCATTTTTGTTTAATTAAATTTAAAAAACTTTTTTTATTGAAAAAACTTATAATGCAGGAAATAATCATCAAACAAATGAAGTAAAAAAGTACAGTTTAAGTATAGTACCTACAGGCTACATATTTTGTCTTTTTTCCCAGTTCTTGGAAATCCAATTGTTATGCACAACCAGCGACGCCGAAGCCAGCCTAGCAACGGCGCAATCGAGTCATCGATATTTACATATTAAAGACAACTTTAGTTATATACCTATTATCAAAATATTTTAAGGTTACCTGAAAATATTTTGAATCCGAATTAACACACAACTGTTTATGATACGGCAACATGTAACTTTTATTTTATTTTATTATGGGTATTTTTATATAATTATATGTACTCGGGTATCTCGATGTGTATCAGATTTCTTTTCCCGTTTATAGGTTTTTAAATTTTATGGTTACTATAGTACGTATACTTCCATTATCAATAGCATTAATTGCTGCGTACTGCGACTTATAATGTGAAATCGAATTTTTATTTATATAAGCTATATAAAGCAATTTGAATATGCAATGTACTTACCTATTCTTTATATGGGTAAAAGTTTACCGTTCAAAAATTCATAAGTTTTCTTTGTTCGTCTCTATTATGTCATCGTTTACAACAGATATTGAATACGTGTAGAGACCGTTCAAAGTTATTATTAAGTAACTATTTGTTATATGGTTTTTGAAAGTGCCGTTTCTTCTCAAAGGCGTCTTACATAATTTTTTTTTTAAATCACAGATTAATAATAACGGTTGATAAAATTGTGGATCTTAAATTTTGTCCCTATTCCAAGTTGGCGTTCATTGCCTCTTCTACATTATAATCAGTTCGTCATATAACTAAACTCTGTGTAGAAAACTTTACACCCGTTTTAATGTAGGTAGGTAGGATCCACCGTTCGAACAAGTATTTCTTTTAACAAAATTATAAGAAGAAACTGTGAAAAAGGTTACAGCCTATAAATGTCCCACTGCTGGGCAAAGGCCTCCTCTGTACAGAGGGTATTAGGGCATAGTGCACCAAGTGACCTCACTGCGGACTGGCGGGCTTCATATTATATCTCCTAAATTTGATTTGTTATTATTTCCAAAAATAAGACGAAGATAAGTCAACACTTAAAATTAACAAATTGGTGCCCCCATCGGGATGAAACTTGGATTGCTCGAGTATATTGAATTAAAAGCGAGCGCCCAGATAATGAGCGATCATGGATTTCAACTCTGCAGCTTTGTCGACCGAAAATTACATAAGCAATTCAATGTCTTCTTCGCTATAAATATAATGCCCATACAAAATGTTGAGTATACAAAACATGGAAATTCATACTGAGTAATTGCAGGAAAAATTATATTATCTCGTCTACGTTTTTTATATAAAAGCCACTGGTAGCTACGGCTGTGAATCGAATGGCAAGCTCGTCACAGCAGACCTATGAGAACTGTAGTGTGTATTATATTTTCGCGTTTCGTCTGGTGAGTGGGATAATTGGGAACCACTTTTTTAATGTTGGCAACGCATTTGTAAAGTAGATGTATATGAGGGTGATTGTAGATGTATACGAGCGTCGGTATCCCTTGACATCAGGTGAACCGCCTGTACGCTTGACAACTTCTTACATTAAAAAATATACGAAATATTTTTTATTTATAAACACGCGCTAAAGTGTTGCCAGTTTAATAACGAACTTAGGGCATCCTTGGTTAGGGCATCCTAACTTCATGGTGGATTTTTTTTAATTATACGATTGTATAAGTAATAAGAAACTTGTCATTGGCATAAAGGATAACAAAATGCCACAATCATAGAAAAAAAAGTAATAAGTGCGATAAGAATTGTACAATTAATCGAAACTGCTGCAATTCAGGAATCATCTTATTCAGATTTAATTGTAACGAATTTATCCGTCGATGTCATATTTATTTATATATATAACCTTCATTTTTAACAAAGATATGCAAGATACGCGTTAATTCCAAAACAGTGTTAATGTCGTGTCGTTTAAGTTCTATTTAAAATGCACACCATATTTTTCACTTTTAAAATGAATTTTATGCGTTATTTGTGAATCATCTCTGCTCTATAACAGGAAAAAACAATATTGAAATAAATATGACATTATTCTTTGATGATACGTTTGCATTGATGTTTATACAGTTGAGGCAAATGTTTGCTAATTATATAACAATATTTCGTTCTTATTGTTCGCAGACCAGCCAAACACTGTTGTGGAGAGCAACGTCCAACTTCGGCCGTGCAAGAAGTTGCCATGCAGGCTCAAGAAAGGCACCGATCAGCACATCAATATTGAGTTTACGCCAGGTATAATTTATATGCCGTATTTTTTGTGTGATAACACTGCGCCTGTTGACGTTATAACAAAGCCACCTCACTCTTGCATCGATATTTGATTTTGAAAAAAGCGGATCTTACATCAGAGAACGCTATTTAATGTGAAATCTAATTAAAATAATCTAAAAATCCATAAATCGAAATATGACCGAATAATAATTTTCTGCAAGTAAAATATCAGTAGGTATATGCGATGTTGCAAGCATGTTTGTTTGTAATTTTTTCATTGCTAGAATTGCCAATGTTCTATAGAACATTATATATCTATATATATACCCATGTCTTTACCATCGCGACAATAAATGAACACACATACAGAGGATAACTTTTTAAAATTGTATTAAAGATTTACATTCTTTAAACATCAATATTTACCGAGTTATCAAATTTTGAAAAACAAAGAATTTTAGAACAACCTTACGTATAAAACTTTAATGTAACGTTCATTTGTAAAGGTCACAAAGCATATGAATGGTTTGAATGAATTTAAAAGAGACAAAACATACTGTTAGAAGGAGAGGTTTGTAATGCGGCGCTGTGGCAACGAATGAAAAAGTCAGTTGTAGTTGTATAGGATGTTACAAATTTTGTTTCTTTTTTACTTAATTAATTTGTTTGAAAAATATTTTTTTTTTCATTATGGATTTTTTTAACGTTAATATTTTTTATGGTTATTGGCAAATAGCGTTAGACGTGTGTTCATTTATTGTGGCGGTGGTAAAGACACGCTATATATATATACATACATACATACATATATATATTATAGTATAAATACAAAGATTGTATTATTATTTCTTAAAGACAGTAATATAGCCCAAATTGCATTTTGTGCTATTTAGTACATGAACAAATTTCGTAAAACTGAAGGTAATAAATAAATTTCATCAATGTTTCACTTTTGGCAATGGTGCTGTTGAATGTTTTTTTTATTATACATTTTTGTCAATTTTTTTAAGAAAAAAGTAGAAAAAACATTCCTGCAAACCATTAACTCAGTAAACTATATAATAAATAGAGGCTGGTACAGTAATTTTCTGTTTTCAGACACAGATATAGAGGAAATTACGAATAAAGTATGGGCAAACGTGTATGGCGTGGACCTGCCGTTCTTTGGGGTTGATGGAAACTCTATTTGTAACAAGCTGTTCACAGAGAGTGGCGATAAGTCTCCGTGTCCTTTGAAAGCTGGTAACAAGTACGTTTACAAGGACTCCTTCCCAGTTCTAAGTTTGTACCCAACAATAAAAGTAAACGTTCGTTGGGCGCTGCAAGTCAATAAAAAGGACATTGTTTGTTTCGAAGTGCCAGCGAATATTGTAAATTGAAGAAAGCCCAAAAACGTGATGAACTCCTAATATCTTTTGTTAAGACTTATAAATTATTTATATACGTAAGATCAAATAATTTAGGGTAATTTCATCAGAATTGTTTAATTTAGTACATAAAATTTGTTATGATAATGTTAATTGTAAATGATAATATAAAAAAAAATGTTAATAAACATAATTATTAATTTTTCGTACTTTGTTTACATAAACGGATAAATGGATGTACTTGATTATATTGTTTCCAAGCTAGGTGCTTTCAATTTGATCAATGAGAGTCAAATGAGATCAATGCTTTGGAGGCGTGATGACGGCGGGAACTTCGAAGCATATGATTTTTTTGTCGCCATCTAGAAGCGCCCAGTGCACTCTGAGTTTAACGCTGGGGTAGAAGGACTCGATGGGGAACACGTTGGTGTAAGTGTACTCCTCTCCGGCGGCGAGCGGGCAGGGGGCAGGGGACCCGTCGCTTCGGGTCACTTGGGGGCATGCGCTCACTCCGGTGACACCGATAAAGGGAAGGGGAATGCCCCCAATGTCGGCGTAAACGTCGTTCACGAGCGTCTTAACCTCTTGATCTGAAACCGTGAACGGAATACAATCATCATCTGCATCAACTACGAAAACTAACAGGCGGCTCGTCTCATATTCGGTGACAATGTACGGCAGTAGACATCCAAAACACCCGTTGGATTGCAGTTGAGCCCAACGTTTAAGAGTCTTTGCCCTAGTAACCTCAGTCATCGAAACACTAACGTGTAAATACTTTTGCTTTTCCCGTATCTAGATTCATTTATTTAGTTTATTCAAAAGCTAAATATTATATACTAATATCATAAACAGTTTTAAAGAGATCGAAACGAGGCCGGTGACCAAACATTTTACTTTGGTAGGGCCACACAACATCTCCTGTTGCAATGAATAGGCAGGCTAGTTCAGGGAAGTACAACAGCCTTAAAGAAGTCCGACGTGAAGTGGAAGTGTTAAACTTTCGCGTTTCGTTTGGTGAGTGAGTTAACCAGGGCCCATATTTTAAAGGTTGCCAACGCATCATGAAGCCATCGGAGTTTGCAGATGCGGTGTCCATGGGCGGCGGTATTCATTTATCATCAGGTGAACCGCATGCTCGATGGACAACTTTTCACATAAAAAAACGTCAAAATCCTTTATATTACGATCGACCAAATTAAAAGTAAGAAAACAGTTTCTTTACCAATTAGTTAAAATCTATGTACCTATACATATATTTTTACTAATAAGTTGAAATGTGTTTTTGTATTATTTATGTACGAATTATAAGATATTAGATAAATATATCTAATAATTCGGATAAATGTTTATAAAACTATAATTATGAATATCAATATACATAGGTTATGTATATTTAGGTAGAGTAACTTGGAAAAAAGTAAAAAATTTTTATGTGCGTAAAATTTTTGAACAATTTTCCTGATTTTTTTATTTTACGATACAACATAGTATACTTTATTAGTTGCTATGTCAGACAGATTAATACCGTCCGTCTATGAGACCCTATTTAAAGGTGACGAGGCTGATAGCTGACAGGACTTTACGGTAAAATTCGAAAAGCGAGCATGGTTTAGAAATGGTGAATTTTATTATTTATTTATAATTTATGTACACAGAGTTATGGCAGAGATGTAAATAGATGAAATAATTTGTACAAAGGTCCTGCTTATTTCATAAGAAATTTCTTCCAGCAGACCTGTGACTGGAAATTGGTTACAGATGGTAGTTAATTGTGTACATACCTCAATTAAAATACACGTATATGCAATAATTATAAATATGATATCATTACCAAAATAAAATATATATAAATACATAAATACACATACATAAATACATACATATACATACATACATATATATATATACATAAATAAGTAAATAAATATATAAATATATATGTCGCATTTGTACTGCCAAGGAAAGGTAGTGATAACTCTTTTCTTAAAAATCGATATAGTTTTAGATTCCCTGATTATCGGTGGGAGTGAGTTCCATAATCGAACTGCATGAACAGTAAAGGAATCGGAATATGAAGCGCTTTTATGGGGAGGGAATTTAAGGAGGGTTTTAAGATGGGAACGGCAAGGAGCGTGCGGTGGACGAGCGAAAGCAAATCGCTCACGCAGGTAAGATGGTGAAGTAGGGCAATACAGGATATTAAAGAGCAGACATAAAATCCTAGCGTTCCCTCGAAATCGTATTGGGAGCCACTTGAGATCCTTGCGAAGATGAGAGACGTGATCAAATTTACGAAGTCCAAAGATAAAGCGTATACATAGATTTTGCAAGCGCTCAAGCTTATTTAGAAGCTCCTCAGTAGCATCCAGGTAACAGGCGTCAGCGTAGTCTATGATGAGTTGGATGAGCATTTGGGCCAGAGAGATTTTAGTCTTTAAGGGCAATACACCCCTGGAGGCATTTAAGAGCATGAAAAGAATAGAGAACTTTTCGACTAATTTCACTTACATGTGCACGCCAGGAAAGATTAGATGATATTATTATCCCCAGATCCTTGACAGTTTCAGTGTAAGGTATGGGTATATCGCATTACTTTACGGGGGGTATAGTAGAGAAATTGATCGAGTTTCTTGCATACCTAGTACCGATAATTATCGCCTGTGATTTAGTGGCATTAAGCGTGAGTCCAAATGATTTCGACCAAGAGCTTATTCGGTTTAAATCTTCGTTAACAGTAGCAATAGCTAAGTCTACTTGTGCTGGAGGAAAATGATGATAAAGCTGCAAATCGTCTGCATAGAGGTGAAAATTGGAAGAAATAACTGTTGTGACTGAGTTAATAAAAATAGAAAAAAGTAAAGGAGAGAGAACGCCACCCTGAGGCACACCCGCGCTTAGTTCACAAGACTTAGAGAATGAATTTTCTATGCGAATGCGCTGCGAGCGGCCCCGAAGATAGGAGTCAAACCAATTTATAGAGGAAGAGGAAATGTTAATTGAATGAAGGATGCCGAGTAAAATATCAAAATCAACAGAAGAAAAAGCGTAAGTTTTAATATAAAACATTGCCTTCTATTGCAATCAGAGTACAGCAATGAGGTCCATTAATCAGTAAAATACAACCTCGCACATACTATCGTTAGACTGTAAACTATTACAGTTCTTAAAGTATTATTTGAACTTATTAATATTTACCTTTATACGAAAATTTTATTGCAGCTTAGATTTATCTATCCATGCATAAGCAATTCTAAATTAAATAATATTTAATAACAAATTCGTAAGTAATAAATATAACATTCATTGGAGGAATTAAAGGAATCTTTTTAGAATATACCAACACATTTTTGCCATATCTATAAGCATGTCATCCGTGCAAACTGAACAAGGGTTTATGATAAAAAAGGTGAAACATCTCGACCTCGTTATCTCTAAAGTGCATCATAAAGACAATTCTTAGATTGATAAAACAAATGCGACCTCAAAAAAAGTATCTCATTCAAAAGTAAATTACTCTCCCCAGATCAATTATTGCATACTTCACAAAAATGTTTATAAATTTACAATTAATAATAAGCGTATTGGCGAATTCCTATGCGTGTGTATTTAACGTCCTCGCAACGTCCAAGATGACATTTACCTTCAGGCAGTACATTTTTTATTCATGAATGATTGGGTTAGTTATTTATTACGATGTTACATGTTCGGAAAATTTCGATAAAGTTTTCAGAATTGATGTATTAGTATGGATTATAATATAGAAATATTCATCATAAAGGATAGAGGTGACGAGATCAAACTCTGTGTATAAAAAGCGTTCGTCAAAAGGCTTTAAATTGGTGGTGAAGACTCAGTAGTTACCATGGTTATCAGTTACTAAAATTCAACTCAACAATGGAAATAATCATACACCTTTGGTACCATTGCGCCACTCTGGTGGGTTTTTGAACTGTTTTTTGACATTCGACAATTTTTTAATTAATCCACCATATATAAGATACCATCTCCACACTGCGTATAAAAAATATAAAATTTTGTGCGCACTTCACTCTAGCGCCATCCTGGAAGGATTTGGAACTGTTACTTGTTGCTTACAGCGGGACACTTTTGCAGCTTACTGAGCTTTTACCCCTATGAGACAGTTCTAATTTCCATGTTACATAGTTAGATAAAGATATTATATACGTGTATTTGTTTGGAGTTATTTTGTTTGTTGTAGCTTTAACTATCTTAATGTTATGTTTATTATTATTATTAAGTGGAATTCATACCTGGCTTGAATTTAAATATCACTGTTGTATTAGTGCCTTTCTGAAGTTTGCAGCCGGTCTTCCTGCATGGGATAATTTGGATCCTCTCGCTCAAGTTGTCGAAATTTTGCCCTGTAAAAATTTAAAAACCAAAAATTTTATTTAGAATATTCCTAGGTTCTTAGCTAAACCCGAGCAACAATTCGAGAGAAAAAGTCAGATGTATGCCAGCGTCAACAGGCTTGTAAATAATAACATTTGTTAGAGAATTTAATAAGCTACAATTCTTTTTAAATTAACATTTAAGCAAAGGTATTAATAAATTACATATAAATGTATTCTTATAACAAATAATAAATTTTACTATAATATATTAATTTTATGAGAGACTATTTGAAAGTTTATGAATTCTAATTGCGCTCCATAATGTACAGTGTACAAGGGCGGATCCAGTGGGCTGGGTCCAGGACCTCGGTGGACCACTAATTAAAATTGTTAAACATAATATTTTTATATAATTTTTGCCACAATATAGATTTTATGTAAGTACCTTCAATATTAATTTAAATTAATATAATATTTTTAACCGACTTCAAAACGAGAAGTTTCTCAATTCGATTGGTATATTGTTTTTCGATGTATGTACACCGATTACGTTCAGATTTATGAGCCGATTTACGTGATTCTTCTTTTGTTTGTTGTAGAATAGTTGCCATTTTGTCCCATAAAAATTTACCATTGTTTGGCCAAGTAGTTTTCATTTTATGAACATTTTTACAAAATTTTTAATGTTTGTCATCAAATCTTACAAATTAAATTTGATCTACTTCCCGTATACCGGTTGAGCTGAAATTTTGTATACATCGCGACAATGCAATATTTTTATGACATGGTGCTGATGATGGAGCTGGTAGGTGGCAAAAGGAACTTCGCAATGACACGACAGAGCCTCATCGCTTTCGGGTACATTTCAATCGTATTGACGAGTAGTTTTTCTTTCACTTAGATAAATAAATAAATAAATAAATTAATTAATTAATTTCATAGGTAACCAGGATCTTATGATGGAGCTCCATCGTCAGCCATCCATGGACATATGCATAGGGTTGCAGATGCGTTTTCTCCTTACAATAAAGCGTGCTCCGGCTACCTCACTCACCAGACAAAACGCAGAAGTACTTTATGCCGATCTTCTGTGAGGTCTATTCTAGTATTCTACTGTATAGAAAATTATAACGTCTTTAAATCGAGTTGTGTTTCTTAATGACAAATATTAAACTGTTAATTGCCTCATGGATTTCCGCAATTCCCTTTATTGATCCTAAACGTTTTAAAATTATTTAAACTTTCGTGAGACATTATTGACTAAATGACTTAACAACTGAACTCGCGTTCAATCGGTTAGATCGACTTGTTTCGGACCCATCGGAGGTTCTTCATCAGGGTGAGTACAGAGGTCAGTATCGGTTTGGCGAGCTCACCCCAAGAAAAGTTCTTTCGATGCGTCTATAACTATTCGATACGTAAAGGAGTGGACGAAAATGTTTTGGAATTTAATAGCCCTGTCTTCAGGTTACAGGATATTTTTTTTTAATTTTGAAAAAATTAACTTCGAATAATACTAAACTGCCGTTTATGTAAGAGAAACGCTCAAAAGATAAATAATTGGTCAAAACATACCGGCACCAACAAAGGTGAATATGAATATATGTTTGCTTGATTTATCATATAAACATATAAACATCATATAAACATAAATATATTTATACATTGCCGAGTTTAGTCATGCTAGAATCTCGCAGACGTTGTGCTGTTGTGGCATTGTATAGAATATGACATCCTGCACCGCCATCAGGTGGCAAGTAACAATATAGTGGAAAACGCGAAATATAGAATCTCTAATACTTATTTATAAAATTTTCGTAGCGAACGGTTGACCGGCATATCCACTTAAACCCCCACACACATTTGTAACAAAAGGAGTAGCATAAAAAGACCGCAGACTGTACCTTCACTAGGCACCGAACTCGTGGAAAAACTAATATTTGACTTTGAACGAATGAATCGGCAACAATACCCTCACAATCAACATCCTCAATTTACAAGATGGCGAAGTTTCAAGTGAGACGCCTATGCTAATTAAAAACTCTCAAGCAAACTTTCATCTAAATAAGGACACTTTCTAATACCAATATCTCCCCTGTACCTCATTACGTGCAATGTGAATAAATAAATTATTGGTGGGAAAACGGTGGTTCTTTATGAGCGTTAAAATAGTAGGAAGCCCAAATAAATTTAGATAATTAATTTATCGACTCGAAAATTTAAATAAACAATTAAATAAAAACGAGTAATAATTCTGGAATATTTACAATTACTACTTACAAATAGTGTCCGACCGAAACTGCATGAATCAACGTTGACGAAAAAAAACCTCCAAAGACCTATCGCTAGTCTTCGTTGCTTGCTTGCATGGATGGAATTTATCACGCTGATCATAACCGATCATAGTGCTAGAAGTCCCGAATTCAATTTCAGTTTCGGTCGTAGTTTCGGCAGGTTTGGCGAAACCGAAACCGAAACCGAAAATTAGGTCAGACAGTACTTTCATACAAAGAATTACTATCAAGTATGAAGTAAATGTGTAAATTTAAAAGATATTTCTGTATCTATAAGATTTCTTATAATGAAACAACGGACAATTAAAAAACAACACAATGCTAGAAACTGGTCCAAGGCTAATCTCTATAATTATATAAAAATGAATCGCTGAATGTGCTGCTAAGCGCAAATTTCGAGAACAGCTGAACCGGTTTCGCCTATTCCTTTTTTATAAGTAATATTCCTTGAAGTATGAGGATGGTTCTTACGGAGAAAAATTTTAAAAATTGCCTGAAAAGGTCTAAAAATAACACTTTTCTATATTCCGTACAAAAGATTCGTAATAATACTTAAAAGTCAATTTGAACTTTAATACCATACCATAAAGTTTGTGTTAGTGGAGGGGTTCCGGGAAGGCAAAACAAGTGAGTGACTGTGGTATAATGTCACGTGAAATGTAAACGTTTCTTTGATGTGCATCACTGCATAGTATAAAACAAAGTCGTCCCGCTGTCTAGGGACTATGTATGCTTAGATCTTTAAATCTACGCCACGGATCTTGACGCGTTTTTACGTTTCACTCGTGCGAAGCCGGGGCGGGTCGCTTGTTATTCAATAAAAATGTTGCTTTACGTCTAATCTAAAAGATAACAGACGAATGACGATGCACACGTTCCTGCCACGATTTCCTACGCGAGTTTGAAGGCAATAGATGGCCTATTTCCACAAATCTATCTTGCAAGTTTAAATTAAGGTAATCTAGGGTTACAAGTTTTACAATCAAGTTCATAGCAGATAGCAACAAAATAGTACAACCATCAAACTTGAAATCCAACACTATGGACCTATAGACCTCTAAATTCCAGAACCAGTACCAATTTCAAAACCATATCCCTACTATTATAGCATAATTTCAAGCAGGGGGCCGGTCGTAAATACCCTAGCCAATTCCATAAACAACACAATTCAGATGCCGACAACAAATAAATATTTTTAATTTTTCATCGCATGAACTCGAATTTGTAAGCATAAATACTAAAAGGGTCCCACATATCGTATAGATGTATACATAGAAGTGCCTGTTTTAGTATAGTTTTATAATAAGTGTAAATAACCTGTTTCTGGCAAGAACAGAATTTCCAAAAAAATAAGCGTAGTTTCAAAACAGGTTTTGCATAATGATTACGAGCAGGTAGTCCCGAAAAAAAAATCCATAAATCTTGACGGATTAAACTTTTATAGCTAAAAAAACACATTTATGTTTTCAATATCTTAAGTTTACAGTGATATAAAGCTTATTGTGTGCGTATTCCTTATTTTTAATTCTTTACAACTTTTATATTGTATATCATAATTTATTAAGATATGTTTTAAATACAAATGTCTTCCAATTGCAAAAAGCGCAAATATCTTCCATGGATAGATAGCTTTCAAATAAGAATGCGTCTAAGGCCTTCACACAAAATAGTCAACTATTGTATAACCGTGTGAGAATCTAACCCATGACCCCCGGAGCCCAAGTCAATACCTTGGCATCTGCCCCAAGGAGCCATCGTGAGGATGGTGATAGCATTGATGCCATCTCCATTTTTCCTTTTCGGATGAATATTAAAAAGATATCCTGCCTCTTGGGAGGGAGGCCGAGTTACACAACACTTGTACGGACAAAAACTCCCCCGATGGCCATAAATAGGCGTTTGCAGGGGTTCCGAGATTACAGGTAAATGACACTGGTGATCCCCCACACTGAAACCAAGCCAATGTATGGAATGCTTCCTAACATCCGCCTTCTACAGCATTAAGTTACCACTCCGTGCCATCTTTCCTGGAGTCACTCTAGCAAGTGAGAGCCTGTATATATCTTTACTGAACTTTACATTGTTTGAAAAAGGGCGAAAACATAAGCGAAATTAAAGTTATGAAAACAATAGGAAAATTAATCAAATGACTTCATGTATGAACAGAATTAGTGATTATAATTTTAACACGGTTCTTTCCGTGTTACATAAGTTATACATTCCATCACACAAAAGATCAGCCATCCACTTTTTGTGGTGGTAGGGCCACGCAGCAGCCTCGGCTGTTGCACGAATGGGCAGGCTCGTCCGGGTAAGTACCACGATCTCACAGAAGACCAGCGTGAAGTGGAAGTATAAAACTTTCGCGTTTCGTCTGGTGAGTGAGGTGGCCGGAGCCCAATTTTCAAAAATTTGTCAACGCATCTGCAACCCTCGAATGTAACAGATGTCTATAGGCGGCGGTATTCATTTAACTTTAGGTGAAACGTCTGCTCACTTGACAAATTTTCACATAAAAAAAACAACTTTTAAGTATTATCACTTAAAGATACTAAAATATATCACACGCATCCTACAAATAATAAGAACAAAAGAAAAATTCAGAAGGAATATACTTGTAAGTGCCTAAATTCTCGGAATATATGACACTCTCCATAATCAATATTCCACTTTTTCACACAGAAACGGGGCCGAGTAGGAAGGCGCGCTGAATGTTCCAACGCGCCTTACCTG